CCACAACTTTGGGTATCTAAGAAAGTAATTGGAATGCGCAATCTTTCATACCAGAAGTGGCTGCAACGATTGGAGGTATTCAGCGAAACCTATCGCAGACTATGAGGTGACCTGATTATCGAATACTTGATTCTGCAAGACCCACATCATGTGTGCCGCTACTTATTGCAACTCAACACCAATACAAACCTGAGGGGGCACTCATTGAAACTCGCAGAACAGTATAGCCAACTGGAGTGGCGCAGAAATTACGTTTCCATTCGTGTCTGTCACCCGTGGAATGCTCTCCCAGAATGAGTCGTCTCTGCACCGACACTAACAGTATTTAAAGGATGGTTGGATGACGCACTCATCCACTTACACTTCGTCCCTTAGCGCTACGTCTCCATCCTACACCTGGAGCTTATCACGGATTTATTTGATGTTAACTGTGGGTGCTATGAATCTAAGAAGATTGCAGAACTACAGCGGAGCAAAGGATAAGTCCTTATTTTCATATTTAAAGTACTCACTGTTTTACTATTATTATTATCATTATTTTTATTATTATTTTGATATTCTCACCAACTAGCCAACGGGACTTGTAAAGCAACGCTTCTTAAGCCGTATAAATTCATTGTTCATTGTTCATTGTTCCATGTCTGCACATCCCAACACCACCTCACTTTTTAACGCTTTTATGTTACATCTCTATAGCACACACATGAACCCAGTCTATCGTCACTTCACAAGCGATTCTGTCCTCTCCAGTAAGTACTTTTCCCATTAATGTTAATTCCATACATTTCAGCCAATTTCCCATTGCACGTAACACAAAGTGCCTGTTGGGACACATATTTGCCTGTAAAATGTTGATAACATTTTAGTTGGCGTACCTAGATGCATTCGAATAAAATATTTCTTTATTCCTTTACCGTCAAAAGAATGAACTCTTTTTACTTAATGCCGTAGCTCTGCACTCCGAGTATTTTCCTAGCTTCAATAGGCGAAAAAATTAAATCCAAGCTATTTTCCGTGAGTAGGATGGAGAGAGTGGGGTCTAGTAACAAAATGTAAGTAGCAGAGTGTGTCATCCGACCGACTTGTAAATGTGGCTAGCGTGAGTACAAAAAGCAACGGATTTGGGGAGAGGGTTTTATGGTTGACACACGCAAATGGAAAAGAAATTTCTACAGCACTCCAGACGGCTGTATCGTCCTGCTAACTTCAAGGAGTGACCTCTAAGGTTGGTGATACTGCTGAGTTGCAACAAAGAGTGGCACACATGATTTGGATTGTGTAAAATCAAGTATACCATTCTGAAGTCCCCTAGTAGTCGGCGATCCTGTCCAGTAAATACGCCCAAACTTTTCGTCTTCTGCTCGTAGGTAGGATTACGCATCCCAGTGACGGAGTTAGAAGCCAGATCTTGAGCTTGAGCGAGTGCAGTGTGGTCGTGCTTCAGCCATGGCTGTCAGGCTTGGATTGCGTATTCGACATGGGTACGAACATACGCATTGAGCATCTGTGTGAATATAGAGGCGTCTATTTGTCCGAATGCCTGTCGTAGCAAACCGGTGTGTTATTTATTAGTTTTCAATGCCTTTGCAGATTGCTTGGAACAACTCAAGTTATCCTGAACCAGCACCTCAATGTCGCGTTTGACAGATGATCGTTGCAGTACTTGCGTTCCTAGTCTGTAGGAATAGGTGCTCTGGTGTTGTGGGGAGAGTATATACATTTGTCCATGTGAACTGTAACCAATTTCGGATTGACCACTCATGTGCCATAGCTAGTTCACAATGAAGTAAATTCTGATCTTCATCCGTCTGAATTCGGTGCCCTTTATCTTGATATCGTCGGCAAACAGCCAAAAATTGAATCGACTTTCCGCGCAGGGTCATTAATGATTTCCGAAAACAATCATGGACCTAGAAGTGGGCCCTGGGGCAAACCGGACTCGGCTCCGGATTTTGACCTCTAATTTTCGTTGCAGGAGAAAGTTGGCGATCCAGTTGAAGAGAGGGTCACTCATCCGTTAATATTGGAGCTGAAAAGGAAAATCCGATGATTTAAACGATCGAATGCCTTTGACAAATACAAGTAGCCCACATCAACTTCCTCCTCAGCGTCTGTTAACTCCGTCCAACTATATCATGCGATTAATACATTCGTTGTGCACGATCGCTGTCGAGGAAAGCCGTGTTGCTAGGTGGAAATAATGTTACACGTTGCTAAATAACACGCCAAAACATCGGCAACGATGGATTCCATGGCCTTAGATAATACAGGGAGAACGGACACTGGGCGGTAGTTTGAGGGCTCAGTTCTGCCTCCGCCTTCGTGAATCGGAGTTATTACTCCGTTTCCACTTCGCATTAATCTGGTTCTGGTCTAAGTATCGCTGAAAGAACTGGGTCAAAGGTTTGCCAGTTATCTTGCTGCTACCCCCAGTGCCTCTGGGCGAATGATGTCGAATCCCGGTGAGCTATGGTTGCTCAGAGACGTCAGCTTCTGCAGTGCAGCTTCGGCAGTAAAACAGGTTGGTAAATCCTGCAGGCGGAAAAGCACAAGTTGGAAGGTGGCTTGATGTTAAAACTCTTAAATGTAGGAGCATATTGTGTCCGCAACGCATTTGTTGCTTCTATAACTGCTCAATTTGGACTATCAGCCGTTTGTTGTGGAGAAATTCCCTACCTCACCTTACGACAGCCATTGACATACTTGTATAGCAGTTTGTGGCTAGCGCTGATTGTTTTCGCCATGTTTTGCTGATATGCGACTTTGTCATCTCCGAGCAGTTGAGTGCCGTGGTTACGTTGGGCTACATAGTTGTCCCAAGTATCTGGTGTTTGTGATGATCTGTACTCTTGTCAGGCTGCGTTGCGTATAATCATCCAGTTTCTGGTTCTACTCTTTACGAAAGAAACGGTTTGGGGTCAGTTGAAAACCCTTGTCTGTGAGGCATCCGTAACCATTTGTTTGAATTTGCTGACGAATTTGAGCCAAACGGCTTTAGGGTGACCTTAAACATACAAAGGTCAGGTTGTAACACTGACGAGCTGAGCCAAGCAGTCAGCGTGTAATGATACACACCATCTTAGCGTTCCGCTGACTAGATTCTACAAAGCTGATGAAGTCGAAACTGGTGACTGCATGATCACTACGACCCGAAGGGCAGTCTACTACCAGTGTATCAATCGTATGTTCTTCGTTGGTGAACATAAGATTAAGAAAAATGGGCTGTTACCTGTTCTGAAACGAGTGGGCATGGTGACCTGATGGTAAGGTGGAACACTAATTACGAGCTTGTGCAGAACTGCTTTGAATTGTTCTCCGATTGTAGCAGGGGTTTCTAAGCAGACACCAGGTGGCATGAATCATTCGCACACGGTAGGTTCGGTAGATTCACGATTTCGATGCGTTGGATACTCCGGAGCAAATAACGACTAAAACGTTTAACAGCTTGTTTCCTACTCCACATCGAATTGGACAGATTACGATGAGAGTGTAAAGTGAAAAGTTTCAACGTATATTGGGTGATTTCACGGGGACGTACCAAACTCTGAACATCCATAACCACGCTCGCTACCCTCTCCTGAGCGCTAGTCGCAACAGCAACCTGAGGAGCTAGTAGTTAAATAGTGTCGCGTAGTTCTGTTGTTTATCTTGTCATTCGCTATATCTGCTATCATTCTACTGCTCTCGGGTGATAGGTCTCTAGGTTTGGTTACAGCGTATGTGGCCATGCTGACAAAACGGTTTACTCCCTCGAACAAGTTACCGTGGCCATGGTAACGATCAGTGTAGACTATCGCGTTTTGGAGTCTTGTAAACTTGCTGCTGGAATTTTGCTATCCTACTCACCGCACGTTCACCCAGGAACTCTTATCAGCCTTGGAAGACTGTGTGTTATTGACGTTGAAGTTATCAGAACCTACCTTGTGTTATAGGTTGGGGCTGCGATGGCATCAAGTAGACTTAAAGTCACTGAGTATAAACCTGACAGTCTGTAACATCGATGATCCTAGATTTATTCAAAGAGGTCTTCATCCTCCCCAGCATCCGGTTGCCTGCTCATCTCTGAGTGCAAACCACAGATAAGGAGAACGCTACATAACGCTCAAGCCAGTCGACCTGATCGACGCTACGGGTAATTCTGTGTGCATTCTGCTCGACTTGTACTTGTGGCTGGTTGCTGCAGGAAATGAATCTGAATGACTCCAAGGTGACACTACTTGGTTGCTGACCGTGAGCAGTGCAAGGATACCGTTTGGTTTCATAGTTAGTCCCACAGTTGAAAACCGGTGTACTGCCCTACAGCAGACTTAGGTCAGTGCGCATGCGTCGGTATAGGGTAGGTCAGTCACTAAATAGCAGGTCTGGGCATATTGTCAATGGGATTATTGGTGTTAGAATGTTCTTTACTAGACATCCGTTTTATGTGACAAGACCAGTTACTGACTTCCCGTCCGTTCCTTGATATTTGCTTACACGTGCCATCTTGTTAATTTGATTCGTCTTATACCTCGTTTATAATGGATATCACATTTGGATCACAATTTCTCTAATACCATTTTCGCGGATCCACGTGATTGGTTCTTACTTGTATCGCTTGTGTTGTTTAGTATCTCTTATGATGTTGATTGGCTTCGACAGGTCTTAGTAGCTTCATTTGCACGGCTGTGTATCCTATATAAGTGAGGCAAGGTTCTCAGTTATAAAATTCTCTTTTGACCCGTCTTTCGTGCCCTGTTTGCGGTTGAAAGCTGTGAGCAATTGGTGGTGATACCACAATTGGTTCACCCGAGTTATTAGAGGTGCAAATTCTTGGTTCTCCTGCAACCATAGGAGACCCATTGCTACTGACAGTCGTGGTAACAGGAAATCTGCACGCGGATGCTGTCAACAGCAGTCAAAGAGAACATGAATTTGAAGCAAGAAAATTGGTGAACGAAAACTACTGTAAGACGGCGAAGGCAATACGCATAGTTGCCATCTGTGCTTCTGAAAAGACTCACCGAGCACGTTAGGAGTTCCAATAAACCCAGAGGCCAGACCAAGTATATGTTTATTTGATCTGTAAATTTTTCGAATCTCCGACAACGGAAGCGAATGTTCCAAAAGGTCAAATGTTATCATGCAGGTTACTGTAGCAAGGCATTTTCCCGAAGCATTCATAAATTCCAGCTGTGGACCACTCTGAACAAGTATCCGGCAGTCTCTAATCGAGGCGTAGGCGATTTCTTGTCCTGCCGTCAGTGTGAATTGTGTCTTTTGGAGAAAAACAAAGAAGGAGTGGAAAATGCAATTGGTTGGGTGTATGCAATGCGAACGATGGCTCGTACAAGTGGAATTATGGAATGATCAACCCAGGACCACTGACATTCTGTAGCGACAAGGAAGGGTAGGTTGTGCATAAACTGAGGTCAAAATGAGTAGTTTTATATGGGTGGGTCTATTTCGGGGTCACTTGATCCCAGTATTTCTCCAGAGATAGATGTTATTCAAACCGGGTGTGTCTTGCGATCTAAGCACCTATTGCGTAGACTAAAACTCAGATATGTTGCCCAGCACGATCTCTAAATACACGGTTGGGACAATGGGATAATAATATACTAAGGTTAACACAACTAAGATTTGACAAGTATCGTGTCAAAAGGCATTTGACAGCTAGGTAAACCGCGTATCTAGAACCTCACCATAATCTCCAAGCTAACGTACATGTAAATCCGTCTACCTCGATTTAGTGCGCACAATGTTTGTAGGCCTCTTGGCGGTACTTGATGAGCGGAACCCACACCAGGTGAGCAAATGAGGTGATGCGTTGACTGATGCGGCGAGTCCATATAGGTCCTTCGCCTATGTCACAAAGCGCTGCGGTTCGAATTCGTTAATTCCAGCGCTGATGTGGGTTGATGGAACTCAGACGTATGCGAAAAACCACAGACCATCTGTCTTTAGTGGGCAGTATGCAGGAGCGTTTGTATCGGAAACCTCGTTAACAAGCATTGAACCGGTTTCAAGAGTCTCAAAGCGTTCGTGCCTAGCAGAGGTTCGTGTAGCGGAGACGGAAGTCCTTATGCTCCCACAAGTGTTGAACGTTTTCGAGACCTGTTTTTTAGTTATTTATTCATTTTAATTGAAGCTGGTACGTTAGTTGGCAGCAGAACTGAGTACAGCGCTTGCTATCGTGTATCTGAAATGGATTGACAGCTGCACATCATTCTCGGAATGAAAAGAAACTATTATCTATCCTATATTTAAAAAATGGCGACAGACGCCTGCCTACTAATTATAGATATTCAGTCCGTCTAGCTTCGTAACAAATTGCCTGCAAAGCTGATGAGATATTGTCCGGGGGTCACCTCAATAGCTTTAGTCTACTCAGCAGTGAGCAAGACAACTATTCGTGTCTGGCGAATTTATTGGTAACTCATGCGAGTTAGACTGATGCAGTGGACAGTGTCTACTCACTGGACGTGTCGTATGTGGATTTTTCCTAAGTATTTGACACGGTACCCAACTTGAGGTGGTCATAAAAGCTGAGCTCTTACGATGTATCTGCAGGCTGTCTTCACTGGGCCTCTGCCTTCTTGGAGTGAAGTGGATAGTGTTTACGCGTCAGTCACAGACAACCATTTAGTCTAATTGTTTTTAGCGACGCCCCGCAATGCTCGATCCATGGACCGCCATTGTTCGCAGTCTAAATAAACTATCTCCCTGGAAAGCTTGGAGTATCACGGCAATTAGTTTCTGAGGATCTGAAGCTGTGGAATGTTTTATATGTTCCTGGTGACTCAGAGGCTGTTCAACATGCACTGGATAGGCTCTGGGATTGGTGCACTTTGTAGTCATTACCCACAAACCAGACAACGTGCTCGTGTTTCGTATTGAAACAGCATGCCCGCCTTCGAGGTACGTGCTTGCCGGCGTCGAACCCCATAGTCTCCAACCAAGCCGACCTAGGCGTCGTCCATTCCATACCGAAGAGCGGTAAGAGTCGGAAAAACAACTCAGTTTGCTTATTACGCACTGAAGAAGTCACCACGATTGGTGATGAAACGTTTGCAACGAAACTGTTCAGCTCGGAGAACAGAACAAAATCTGAATCTTTCTGATTAGTTGCTTCCACAAGAGGTAAAATATTTTACCCCATTTTCCAAGTATGATAAAGGGGTTTCAAGTAAACTGTTAACAACTGAAAAATAGTTTCGTTAATTTTTATTTATATAATTTTCATTCCCTTTCTTTAATGGTGAAGGTGACTAAAAAAGAAAGTTATTGACCAAGGGCACCGCTTCTAGGAAAAGTGGTAACTAAGTATTTTTTCACTGAACGACTGAACAACTGTGTGTTCTTTATTTCTTTGAACAGTGTGGATGTTTTCAAGGAATTCAATATCAAGGGGCATGTTAACTAAGGTTGACTAAAAACGAACGAGTTGAGAAATTGAAGCAACTGGAAGCTGAAATAACCTCACAGCAAGGCTTGTTTTCAAAAATCGGTCAGTCGAATGAAAATGCGACGAAGGCAAGTTATGAGGTGGCAAACCTGAAAGCAAAACACTGCAAACCATTTACTGACGATGCATTTGTCAAAAGATGCGTAATGAAAATTAAAGGAAATCTGTCCTTAGAAAAAGCAACAGTTTGTTAATGTTTGCTTAGCAGGCAAAGCTGTGGTTCGCAGAATTGAAGACATTTCATTTGATATTACTTGACAGTTAGAAGTAAAAAGTAAAAAATTGACGCTTTCATTACTTCGTGATGAATTCACTGATGCATCTGACATTGCCCAGCTTCTCACTTTTTCAAAAGAGTTAACGATGACGTGTATGAGAGAGGAATTACTTGACCTGTAAGATCTTAAAGACCAAATAAGAGAAATAGATCATTGTGCTTCTGTTTATTCTGCAATCAATGACCTTAAACTATCATGGAAATGAATCTCTGGAATTATTGCTGACGGTGCACCAGCCAGGACTGGCGAGCACAGTAAAGCGAAGTCAGTGAGGAAGGAGGCCAAGCCATTAAATTCCACTGCATCATTCACCAAGTTATTTCCGCCAAACAGCTTAGGAGTGATCCTGTTATGAAGGCAGTGATAAATCTATCAAATATCTTCGCTCTACACTCTTGTTTCATCATCAGTTGCAGCGGTTTCTCCTCAGCATCCAGGGTGACAGCAGAGATGTTCTGTATCACAATGATGTAAGATGATTCAGTCGTGAGATTACACTTTACCGCTTCTACTCCCTTGCAAAAGAAATTAGACGATTCATGGAAAATAAGAAACCATCAATGCCAGAACTACCTGATCCCATTGCGCTGGCTGATTTTAGACATTTTGGTTAATATTACACGGCACCTGAACATGCTGAACACGAGTTTCAGAGTCAAAATGCAGGGCTAAGCCTATTGTATTCGCACATCAAAGCTTTCAGAAATAAGCTGCAACTTCGCAAAAGACAGCTATTTCAAAAGCAGCTAAATACTAGATATTATCTATCATTAGAAAATCAGGACAGGTCCTCCAGAAAACAACTTCGATGCACAACTGCAGAAATATGTCTTAGATATTGTATCATTGACTTATGACTTTCAAAAGTCCTTTCGGCTCTTTGCAGCCATTGAAAGGAGATCGGGCTTTTTTCTTCCCCGTTGCTCTGTGGACCCTGACAATGCTCCAGGCCACCTGAAACTGGAGCTCATTGAGTTGCAAAGTGATAATGAATGTCGCCGACCGCACCAATAGCCCTCTCCCATCGAGTTTACCGCCAGCTGGATAGACATATTCCAACAGATTCAAACATTTGCTTAAAAATGCGCTGCTTGTTTATCTCGATATACTTGTCCAAGCAGACCTTCTCAGTTCTGAATTTTAACCAGAATCGTGTGAGGATGAGACAGTGATTCTTATCTAAGTGATGACTTGCGTACGAAAAACAATGTCATTGAGCCTGAACTGACCGATTTGCTGCCGTTAAAACCTCAGTTGCACTCTTCCATTAACAACATGTGAGAAAAAATGTATAACTGATCATTTTTGGTTATCATGTTAATGGCAGACTGAATATGACTCCACATGTTTTCTGCCCACCAAATGTTTGGACACTACTCTCGAGTGATGACACGAAGCATTTCCTTTCTCCTGACAATATCTGTTAGGGAGGAGGCTACTAGACAAATATTTCTTTGTGCCAATTCCTAGTTGTCTGCTTTTGTTTCCTTCCGCTTCGTTTATTTGCATCAGTTTAAGCGCATTTTGTTAAGTTTCATTGACGGGTATACATCTGTCTTAATTGATGTCGTCCAGTCATCCCAATTCCGCCAACCTTGTTTCCTCGGACAACCTCGATTGGTTCTTGTTTGTATCACTTCTCATTTGCTTGTGCTGTTGGTTGACCCAGTTGCCCTTTAGCAGCTTTGCCTCTATCACCATTGTACCGTACATTTGGAAGCGGTGTTCTCGTGCATATAGTTCTGTCCTGGCTCGTCTTCCGTGTTATCCTCACACTCGTCGGGTGCAAACAGTAGGCAGCGACACAACAATTCGATTTTATTTTCTATGCTTTGCTTTATTCATTGGTATTATCCATCATTCAAAGGACCTTCCTTCAAGGTTATCTTGTAATTTATCCCTGACTCTGGTTTAGTTCACGTTGCGATTGATCAAATGCAGTTACTACTGTGCCAAACGTTATTAGTACAAACGTGTCCTGAAAACCAAATGGTAACGGCCAACTGCGAACCTTGCCTATGTCCCAATGGCAGAGGAATGCTTAGGAACCCCAGATGCGTGTGCGCAAGAAGTAGGCACAGTGGTATTGCGCGCCTCGCGACCAATAGAAAGAGCGTAGTTGAATGAACCTGTTAGTCAGAACTGATGCATACGGTTGATTTTGCCTGTCACAACGAATGACGGTCCGCACCTGGGGTGCTTACAGAGTGAACGATACAGCAGGGTCTGTTAGCGCAGGAAACGTGAACAATAATTGATTGTCTAGGCCAGCAGCAAGTTCACCGATCGAGCAGCATCAATGTGCAGATCAATGGTAAAAGTAAGTAGACTCGATCATGTGGGGTTGAAACCCCGCCAAATGTTTGCCTCCAGTTGATATGGACAAATTTCGACCTGCCCAGGAGGAAATCAAAATGTGATTGGCTGGTGCTCCACGGAGAGCAATAGAAGTTGTTTTGCTCGTGAGCGATGTACGAATAATGAAGTGGGTCGCAAACGGTGCTAACAAGAGTTGAGAACCGGTTATTCTC